CGCATCCTGTAAGTCAGCACCACTCACCAAGTTCGTAGAGAACGAGGGGAGGTAAAGACCAGACAGGGTGCCAGAGGGAGCCGCCGGACACGGGAGGATAGTGGAGAAGTGAGCAAGGACAGGACCCCTAGAGGGGTTTGCCAGAGAGACTGCAACTGGCCGACCAAGCGGCGTGAGTGTGGTGCGGTCTCGAAAGAAGGAGCGAGAAGCCCCTGAGTCAAAGGTGAAGGTGTGGGAGGCCGGAGCCAGCGTGGTACCTGGGAGAGCAGACTCACCAGCAGCTGAGGAAGCAGACTCACCAGCACCTGAGGAAGCAGACTCACTGGCACCTAGAGCAGCAGCCTCACCTGTACCTGGAGCAGGAGACTCACTGGCACCTAGAGCAGCAGCCTCACTAGCACCTACAGCAGCAGGCTCTATACCTGGGTCAGGCGGTACGCACAGGTGACCGGCACGGTCAGCACTAGTAGGCAATGCATACATGACAGTGAGAATAGCATCATAGTCTAGAGCAAATATATCTACTCTCTGCCTTAGCAACTCCACCCAGTCGGGGAGCTCAGCCTCGTCGCCAAACTCGGTACGCCAGGCGTCGCTCAGACGGGCGAAGCAGCGGGACTGTGTGTGACTAGGCGTCCCACAAGGCTGACTAGTCCGAGCACCAGTGCGAATCACGTAAGAGCAGCGAACAGAAGTGAGAGACCCTCTACTCTGAGCATACCACTCACGAAGCTGTTGGGGCGTGCGAGACTCGTGTGGACGTTGCTGGAGCTGCATCTAGCCGCCGCCAGTAGCAGCAGCAGCAGCAGTGGTAGCAGTAGCAGCGCCGCCACCCCTACAACCCCAACTAGCGTACCACTCACGCAGCTGCTGGGGCGTGAGGGACTCACGCGGACGTCGCTGGGGCTGCATCTGGCTCCGCCACTAGCAGCAGAAGCAGGAGTAGCAGCAGTAAGGCAGGCAGCCAGGCAGGTCGGCAGGCAGGCAAGCAGGCCGGCAGGCAGGCAAGCAGGCGGCGCGGCAGCGCGCTAGCAAGACAGGGGCTCACTAGTGGCGGGAAGAGCAGGCTCTCACCGGGCGAGCAGGGCCGGGGCTAGGCGGGCGGCGGCAGGGTCAGCGCGCGACGGCGGCGACAGCGGGGCCGCGGCAGCAGCTACAGTGAGGGGCCGGGTCGAGTCAGCGGCAAGGCGTGGCCGGGTCGTGTCAGCGGCAGGGCGGGGCCGAGTCGTGTCAGTGGCAGGGCGGCTCGGCGGCAACGGCAGCTCGGCGGCAACGGCGGCTCGGCGGCTCAGCGGCTCGGCGACTTAGTGGCAACGGCGGCTCGGCGGCGCCGGCTCTCGGCGGCTCGGCTGCTGGGTAGTGACGGCGGGGCCGTGAGGGGCGGCAGGGCCGCTGAAGGGACGGCGGGGTAGGGTGGAGCAGCGACGAGGCCACTGAGGGCGGCGGCGAGGCCACGAAGGGTGACGACCGGGCCGCGGAGGTGTGGCGACGGGGCCGCGAGGGGCGGCGCCGGGGTCGCACGGGCGTGGCGACGGGGCCGCGAAGGGCGGCGGTGGGGTCGCGGGCTGGGGGCGACGAAGTCGCGAGGGGGGGGGGGGGGGGCGGCGCCGGGGCCGCGAGGGTGGGGCCGCGGGGTCGCGAGGGTAGGGCGACGGGGCCAGCAAGGGCGGCTCCGGGGCCGCGAGGGCGGCGCGACAGGGCCGCGAGGGTGGTGCGACAGGGCCGCGAGGGCGCCGCGACGGGGCCGCGAGGGCGGCGCGACGGGGCCGCGAGGGCGGCGCGACGGGGCCGCGAGGGCGGCGCGACGGGGCCGCGAAGGCGGCGCGACGGGGCCGCGAGGGCGGCGCGACGGGGCCGCGAAGGCGGCGCGACGGGGTCGCAAGGGCGGCGCGACGGGGCCGCGAGAGGCCGCTAAGGGGCGTGGGGGGGGGGGCGGGGGGGCATGAGGGCGGCGCGACGGGGCCGCTAGGGGCCGTGAGAGGGGGCGCGACTCGGGCAGGGGCTGAGTGCGCTCCCGGCAGGAAAAAAATGGTGGGCCCTAGGAACAGTTCCCACGAGGGAACCTGCTCGATACCATGAGAAAACTAGAACGAGAGAATGAGTGCACTAAGCAGCATGAGGAGTACAAGTACCAAACCCTAAAGTGTTGTACCCCATATAAGCTACCCCACTATAGCCTACACAGACTATAGTATATGAGTTTGACAGCTTAGTAGCTTAGGTTTTGGGTTCAAGAGGAATGTCGAGAGAGTTGCAAAGGAGAAAAGTGTTCAATAAAGAGAGAAGGTACAAGAATATAGGCAAAGCAAGCAAGGTGCACCACCAAACAATGTAACACTACACTAACTATCGCTACACGCAGTTTATATAAGAAATATATTTCAACACACCCCCTAAACTGCTTGCAGCAGAAAGCCAATGCAGAGACACCCCCTGAAGGGGTACACCAAGCGCAGCAGAAGGAGAGGGGAAGTGAGGAGGAGGAGGGACTGTGACATGGGTGGAGATAGGAGGCGACAGGTGAAGCCGCTGTCACACGGGCAACAGGAGCGGCGCGCACAGTGGCTACCGAGCGCACGAGGGCACCGGACTATGGGAGTATCTGGCTCCGCGGCTATGACGAGCGGCAGGAGCAACGGACCCACAGGCAACTGGCGAAGCAGGCTCGCTGGGCTACCGAGAGCACGAGGGCTCCTGACTACTGGCGCTGCTGACGACACGACGGCGACCTCCGCTCTACCTCCCCTAACAGTCCCACACCCCCTTCTCACACACCCCCTTGCTGCACCCCTGTCTCCACTCCCACGACACCCCCTTAGTTCCACTCCCCTCGGCTCCCACACATCCACCCCCCTTCAGCGGCAGCTGCAGCAGTGGGAGACGAAGAAGGAGGAGGAGGAGGGGAAGGGTAGCACCCACACTCATCACCCCCACACCCGCCACCCCCATACCCTTCCCCCACGGCTGCACAGGGTCCAGGAGCGGCGTCGCGGCTGCTCCAGGGGCCAGGGGCGGCTGCTCCAGGGGCTAGGGGCGGCTGCTGCAGCGACGGCTGCTCCAGGGGCGGCTGCTCCAGGGGTGACTGCTCCAGGGGCCAGGGGCGGCTCCTGTAGTGCCGGCTGCTCTAGAGGCCAGGGGCGGCTGTTGCAGGGGCGGCTGCTCCAGGGGCCAAGGGCGGCTGCAGGTGCGGCTGCTCCAGGGGCCAGGGGCGGCTGCTACAGTGGCGGCTGCTCCAGGGGCCAGGGGCGGCTGCTCCAGAGGCGACTGCTCTAGGGGCCTGGGGCGGCTCTTGCAGTGGCGGCTGCTCAAGAGGCCAGGGGCGGCTGCTCCAGGGGCCAGGGGCGGCTGCTCCAGGGGCCAGGGGCGGCTGCTCCAGGGGCGGCGTCGCTAGTGCAGGGCAGGCCCGCGCGCTGCTGCAAAGCAGGCGCAGGCGCAGGGGAGGAAGAGGCGGCGGCCAGGGGGGGGTGCGCCGCGACGAGCAGGGGCGACGCCGCGAGGGTCCCGTAGGGGCGTCGCGACGAGGCAGCGGGGGTTGCGGGGCGCCGCGACGGGGCAGCAGGGGTTGCGGGGCGACGCGACCGTTGACGGGGGGGGACGCGCGGGTCGTCGGGGTGGTACGTGAAGCAGGAAGCCGTCACGCGCGTCGGGGCGCACGGCGGGCAGAAAACCGCCACGCGCCCGGAGCGCGTGGCGGGAAGAAAAAAGCGTCGCGCGCCACGGGGCGCGCGACAGACAGGAAAGCAGCGGAAGCACATGGGGCCCACAGGCCAAGAGCGTAATAGCTCTGATTCCATGTCAAGATACTAAGGACAGCAAGACTTAGGAGCCATGGCTATGGTAGCTTAGTAGCTTAGGTTTTGGGTTCAAGAGGAATGTCGAGAGAGTTGCAAAGGAGAAAAGTGTTCAATAAAGAGAAGACTCGCTTTGTCGCTGCCCAATCAAGCATCAGATTTGCAAAACCTATCCTCTGTGGAGTCACTTCGGGTGGTAAGGGCGCGTGTCCTTTGGCAATATTTGTAAAGTTTGCTTTTTAGACTCGAGTTTTTACAGTTGGAACTAGATTCGAACTGTACTCGAATATTACAACTCTCGATAGCCGAGCCGCCCTGCAAATTTCCAGTCAAGCAACCGTGACATCGAGAGGTCGATCATCGAACTCGACTTTCTACAGCATTGCTCGCGTCGCGTACCCGTCTCGTAGGTTACCCTGTTTGGGTTCTTGACAGTGCGCCACGTCGTCACTGGGCGACACGGAACACTTAGGCCTACAAATAGCGCACGATGACTTCGTCAGTGTCGCCGATTTCGCCGCAGCTATGAGCGTGGTCAGGACACACGTTCACAAATTCGTGCGGGCCCACGTTCGGCCATAAAGTCGACCGGTGTTCGTATTCCACATTCGGTTCCACCTCCCGCCGCTGTTTTCACGAATGCGCGAACCATTCTGCCGAAATTGGCGAAACCGGTAACCACTTAAAACTCGAACTCGAATTTGAACCTGGCCCACCAAGGACACGCGCCCTAACTTGGTGTTTGGCAAGTTCATATTCAAAAAGCCTGAATTTGAATACAGCCATGTGGAACTCGGGTTTTAAGATACCCTAAATGCAATTCAGTGCACAATTTCCTTCGAATTGAGCTGGCTGGCAACAGGCTTCCACGTGTTCGGTTATCACCCGTACGTGGCAACCTCGTCTTCGTTGCATGGCGACTCGTCAGCTGGGTCGTTCTCCAGCCGCGATGCGCCTCTCGTACGCGCCGCGCTCGTCCTCTCTCTATCTCTCGCCTCTCGTGGGCAGAATCACAGGGGCGCTCCATGCCGGGGCTCCCTGCTGCTCCACACGTCACACCCTTCCACCTCCGACCCTTGGACCTCCCTCCCACCCTTCCATGCAAAACACACACTCGCCATGGCGTCCTCTCGTCGTGCTGGCGGCACGGAGGGTCACGGAACTTTGCTCAGAGGGGCGGAACAACGCACGGGACGGCCGCGACGGCGAATGGTGAACGCGCTGACGGGCGGGTCGACGCAAGACGCTCTCCGCGGCAGCAAGCTGCCGCGCAGCGAGGGGCGCGGATTCGCCGCCATGGCCCGCGTGGTGGTCGCCGCCGGCAGTGCTGCTGCGGCGCTCATGCTGCTTGCACCGAGAGTGGCGCAGGTAGCTTGAGGCGCCTACGCGCGTAGGGCAGACACACTGCCACCATGTGCCCTTCGTGTGCCCTTCGTGTGCCGTCGTCACCATAATCCTTCGCGCTCATACACTCCCGCTCCTCACTCCGTACCTTGCCTTCCCCTGGTGCTCACAGTGGGCGCGAGCAGCGCGGCCGGCGCAAGGCCGGCTAAACCCTACGCGCGCACTGCACGCCGCCGCCGGCACTGCCGGCAGGGACGGCGGCAAACGAGGGCTGGCCACCCAGAGCAGTGACGAGGAGGGTAGGGCGGGGCGGCAGCTGGAAAGTGGGGAGCGGGAGCAGAGGTCGAGGGAGCGGCAGGGAGAAGGGGCAGCAGCAGCAACAGGGGGAGAAGTGGGGGATGTGGAGAGGTCGGGCATGGAGGGCGGTGGAGGGGAAGGGCCAGTGGCGGCGCCGGGACCGATGGAGATGCTGGCGCGCGGGGTGGCGTGCATCCAGGCGAACCTGGGCCCGTGGTCCGTGTCCGACCTAACCCTCGGCCTCACCGTCATGGCCAAGGTCGCCCTGCCCTGCCCCTCCTCTGCTGCCACCCCCACTTGCCACTGCCACCCAACCTTGTCCTGGCTCCACGTATCCACTTCATCCATCTTCCCCTTCCCCTTCCCCCTCATGCTAACGCCTCTCTCCTCTTCCCCTGCTCGTCTCATCCACTCAGGTGACGGCAAAGCGCCCCCCTCCCCCACCGCGTGGGCGAGTGGTGGCGCCTGCGGAGGCGGGTGTGGCGCGCCTGGTGGAGCTGCAGCGCCTGAGGGCGCACGCCGAGGCTGTGTACTCGGGGGACAGCGCCTCCTGGTCGCTGCAGGTCACCTCTCCACCGCCCTCTTGCCCAACCCAACTCAGTCGCACAAAACGTGTTGCACATAGGGAGTATATCCGTGATTGGCGTTCTGTATTGTTGAGGACGTCTCATATTTGGACGACTGCTGCAGTCGATGATGCTTTCAAAGGATTCAACGGAAGTTGGTTCAAAGGGGTTGTTGCTAATTGTACGTCCATGCTTTGCCATGACTACTGTCTCGCTCTTTCTTCATCACTTTCCTCGCTGTTCCGGTCCTGGTTCATCCCCCTCAATCGCACCCTCAGGGTGGCAGTGTGGCAGTTGCTCGTTAAGCCACATCTGACAGGTAAAAGCGCCACAACGATTGCAATTGCAAGGGACTTCCAGAAAATCTCAGCAAGAGCGATGGCAAATCGGGGCCGCCAGAGTGACGCGCCACCCAAGAATCAGGCCTGTTCTCGACTCCCCTCTGTCTCCCCTGGTGGACCCTCTGCCCGTTTTGTTCTTCCCATGGTGTGTCTCAGCTCCCATTCTCTCCTCTCCCTTTTCCTCCGTCCCCGTGCACAGACGTGTCTGCCGGAGTCGGCCATAGTGCATGCGCAGTGGCAGCCGCACAACCAGCGGGTGCGCCCGGCGTTTGTGGTGTGCGTGGACGCGCAGCTGGGGGCCGTGGTGGTGGCTGTCAGAGGCACCTCCGACACCGCTGACATGCTCGTCAATGCCGGCACCTTTCCACACGATTTCCTGGGCGGCAAAGTGCACAGTGGCTTTCTGCACGCCTCGACACATTTGCTCCAGTAGGCAGCTGCTCAGTCTGAACCAGTATTCACTGCTTCACCCACCACACACCTTATGTGTTCCAAATGAATGCTCTGGTTCGATTCTGGCTTGTGAATGCAGCCCCACACTTGCCTGGCCTGCTTTGGTCCTGCAGCATGACAAGTGCGCAGAGCTGAACTGTCACCCTCTCTTACGTGTGCCTCCCTTGTGGCCGTGCAGTGAGGCCCGGGACCACATCGAGCACGCACTGCGCACGTGGCATGGCATGCCGGTGCGGCGCCTTGTGTTTGTGGGGCACAGCCTGGGCGCGGCTGTGGCCATCTTGGCAGGCATGATGCTGCGGCATGAGAACAACCGCCTGCACGCGCACCCTCATGCACAGGGCAGCGCAGGTCATGGCGAGGCATCAAGAGAGAGCATGCATGCTGTGACAGGTGCCAACCACTCTCATGCTGCTCCCGCCAAGCGTGGTGGTAGGCGTGGTGGCAGGGGGCGGAGGTCGGAAGGGCGGCAGCAGGAGAGGAGGTGGGGGGACAGGGAGTCAGAGGAGCTGCAGGAGGCAGCGGCGGAAGCAGTGGTGGGAGCAGGGAGGGGGTTGGATGGTGTGGAGGTGCAGTGTGTGGGGTACGGTCCGCCTGCATGCATGACTTTGGACTTGGCCCAGCAGTGCACCTCCTTTGTCACCTGTGTGCTACTGCAGCACGACTTAGTGCCTCGGTATGTGCATCTCTTGCCCATACGCCTCTACTATATGGTTTCCCACACGCGCCTGCTTGTCCGTGTGTGCCTCCCATCCCATGCCCTCGTCCGCCCCACCACTGCCTCCTATGGACCCCTGTTTGCCACTGGCAGGTTCTCTCTGGCCAGTGTCGAGTTGCTGCGGCAGGCCATCAGCACGTTTGACTGGGACCATGCGGAGGCTGTGCTGGGGTGGCATGACGAGGACTGGCAGCGCGTCAAGGCGGCCAGGGACCTGCTCACGCGCCTCAAGGACCTGCAGAGCACCGCCGTGGGGGCAGCGGCAGCCGTGCAGGGGACTGCATTGTTGGCGGCAGCAGCAGTGCAGCAGTCAGCGGCAGGTGTAGCGGCCTCCGTGCAGCAGTCACCACTGCTGGGGGCTGCAGTGGGGGCGGCTGGAGCAGTGCAGAGCCAGGCAATGGGTGCGGCAGCAGCGGTGCAGGGAGCTGCGGTGGCAGTGACGGGGGCGGCAGTTGGGCTGGGTGGCAAGGCACAGGAGCTCCAGCATGTGGTGGCGGAGAGGGTCCCTGAGATCGTGGCAGATGCCATTCCACAAGGGGTGGTTGAGCTCGTGGGGGGCGCAAGGGCGAAGCAGCAGGAGAATGGTAGCAAGGGGCAAAAGGGGGGGGCGAATGAGGGGCAGTTAGGCAAGGTGATGCGTGGAAGCGATGGGCAGTCAAGGAGTGGGCAAGGTGTGGATGATGTGGTTGAGGAGGATGGGGCAGAGAGTGGTGAAGGGGATGGCATGAAAGCAGGGGGGGGGAAGAGAGCGGAAGAGGCAGGGGAGGACTGGCAGGCAGATCAAGAGTGGGTGGAGGCGCAACCCATGGAGAGTGGGGCGGATGCCATTGGCTCTTGTAGCGACAGTGGGGAAGGCGGTAACAGTAACGACGCTGGGGAAGCTGGAATGGAGGCTATGGTGCAGAGAGGTGAGTGCAACGATGAGGGAAGTGGCGTGGAGAGAAGTAAGGTGGCGGAAGCAGTGGACAGCAACGAGGATGGGAGCACTGCGGGGAGAGAGGGTAAAAATGAGGAGCGGGCTGAAAAGCCAGAGAGTGCTCATGAGAAGCGGCAGCAAGAGGATTTTGCGCCACCCCTTTACCCCCCTGGTCGTCTGCTGATGCTGTGCTGCGACCCCCCTGGTTGTGGCCATCGCCCCACCACTCGCAAGGAAGTGCACCCGCAGAGGCAGTTTGGTGTGTTCCCCTCGCACGAGGAGGTGGCGGGAGGTGACATGCGGTGGCAGGTGGTGGAGGTGCAGCAGGAGGCGGTGCGCGAGATAGTGGTGTCGCCGTGGTGCATCAGCGACCACATGCCAGGCACCATGGGCGAGGGGCTCAACTGGATCATGGCACATGTGGGGGACGGCGAACGGGGCAGGGTGGAAGGCGGGAGGGACAATGGTGAACGGGGGGTAAGGAAGCGGGAAGAGTAGCCCGAGAGGATTGGCTGGTGAATTTAGCCCGAGGATTGGTTGATGAATTTTGGACAACTTTTTGTTAACTGTGCTTACATTATACCCTATGAAAGTGAACATTCTACAGCTGTACTGTATTTGCAGTAGCTCCGTACTGTCAAGAGAGCCTCGTGCTCTTTGCTTATGATGCTGTGGTAGTTGCTTATCCAGGCTGAATCATGCCTGCCTGAATCATGCCAAGAGAAAAAATACCTTGCGCGTTGTGTTGTAGCAAAATACCTTGAGCCAAGAGAATCCAGTAAGAATGGCTTTTGATTTGTATAAGAACTCTAGCCCAATACTAAGGTTGAACCTAAATTGTAAGCTCTCAAAGTGTTCATGCTTGGATGTAGGCACACTAGGGCAGGGGAATAAGTTTATGAATTGTGAAAGGCACTTGAATTGGTCAGCGCTAAGCAGTCAAATATGGAGCATCTCACACCCATCAATTACCATAGAACATGTTGGAGCATAAGATCTCCTACCGTCATCGCCCGGATATAAGACATATATGTCTTATCTCGTACACGGGCAAAAATGCTTGAGTTATCTTGTAAACGGGATGGTTTAGGGTTGTTGGGAACAAATAGTCTTAAACGCCTCTGTCGTGTCGAAACTCAAGACACAAGCGAAGCAGCTCAAATCGAAGCACCGCGAGTCAACCCTCGGAGGTTAACGTAACCGCTGGAGGTTACGAGAAAGTCAAAGGTCAGCGACCTTTGACCTGACGCAGCGCGACAGCAAGGACACACAACTGACTCGACATTGAGCAGTTGCCCGAGTCGCACTGTATCGAACTGCAACAGTAAAACAGTTACAATTATGTCTCTTCATATTCTCTGTACTCATATATATATTCCTGTATCTCTTTGCTTTAATCAACTTACTTTGCCCTCACATACTAGCGCAAGGTGGTTCAAGGACTTTATTCAAACGCTTCCGCTACTACATCATTTACTCAGACTTTAACTCTACTAAAGATCCTAGGGCGTTCAGCCCAACATGGTATGAGAGCTGGTTAGAGTTAAAAATTTCTCTTCAACACTTAATACATCAAGAAGACATGTCTGCTAGAAAGAAGAGGAGCTCCTCCAACGGCTCTCCCGGTACTACCCCTACTCCACCTCCTGCCTCTGGCCTACTGACAGAGGAAGGGACAACAACTAGACCAGCAGCTGGGTCCACGGAAACACCCGCAAACCAAGGCGCGGGCTTCGATCCAAGTATGATGGAGAAATTCTTCTCCTTCATGTCCTTCTACGAGCAGCATCAGCAAGGAGTACCTGCGCAATCAAACAACAGCAACAACAACAACAACGTGACGCCCATGAGTCTCGATGGCTCATCCTACGCACGCGGGAATCAACATCAACAACCTACCTTCGCTCCGTACGAGCCCCAGCGCGGCTCCGTCAGCTTCATGCCGCAACCAAAACCTGCACCGGGACAAGAAAGAGCACTGGACGCACTACAAGTTCAGTCGCAATTCGCGCATGTTCTAAAACTACAAACGACAAAACCTTTCGACGGGAAGGATTTCTTTACCTGGTCGTTCGAATTCGAGCTGATGATGGAAGGAGCGCAGATCCTTGGCTTCTTCGACGGGTCCCTGCCATATCCAACAAACGGCACGCAGTATGAGAAGCAGCAGTACACCTATCAATCGATGATGGCGTACACAATACTACTGAGGAACATCACCCCGACTCAACAGCAGAACATAAGGAATTACCGAGGTTACGGTAACTCCGCGGAGCTCGCGTACAACCACTTGAAGAACCTGTATCAAGCAACAGACAGCGTAAACCAAAGCCGGTTAATGGCGCAGCTGACAACAATCGAAATGAAACCAGGCGAGAAGGGCATGGCATATATCAGTCGCTGCCGCGAACTGTGCGACAAGCTTCTTCGATGTGGATGATCGATTTCAGAAGACGCCTTTGTCACGGTTGTCATCGGTGGTCTTGGCCCTCACTGGCGCTCCACTCGCGCCATATTACGGGCACACGGGAGAATCTCCGAAGCAGCACTTTGCGCCGAAATCCATGCTGAACAGCAGGACGTGGACCTGCAAGAAGAACGACATAAGAAGAAAACGTCAGTACCAGAGTTCGCGTTTCACACCCAGCGACGCTACAACAACAAAAATCGGCAGCAACAACAATTGAAGCCAGTACCTCCGTTTTGCCATATCTGCAAGACTTCAGGGCATCCTCGTACGCACTGCCCGTATCGCCAGCAATCGACAACACCACAGCGACAACTTCGGCCTTCAAGCTCCCAAGTTACTTCAACGCAAGCAACTCCCACGACAAAGATTCAAACCTCAACGACTCCAACAGGACAACCTGCACAAGGAGCAAGAAACATCGTCAACTGCATGGCAAAGACAACAGATTCCTGCATCACCGAATCACCGTCGCACTACTCACCAGAAGAACGACTTGACGAAACCACACCTCGCCGCGAGTCACTTCAGCCGAACCCGACATACGCCGCCATCGCTCAAAGCGAGCCATCCGGAAGAGACACTTGGTTCTTGGACAGTTGCTGCGGACAACACATGTGCTCCTCAGGACGTTTCGTTCAACGCGAGCACCGACTTCAACGCGAAGTCGTCATCGCCGTCGCCAATAATCAGAACCTGCGAACAAGACGACAAGGCATAGTATAGCTTCAGTCACGGGAGACGAACGTCGTACTACAAATGTCGAAAGTCCTAATAGCAGAGGGACTCGGCTACAACTTACTGAGCGTCTGTCAGCTGATGGCGAAAAGGCATACGCCTGGAAGCCGACAGCACCACCCAGGAGTTCAAACTGTACCACGGGAAGGGCGGCCTCTACATCGGAAAGGCGGTTCTGAACAATAACGTCTTTGTCCTTGACTTCGTCCCAGACCTGGGCACCGCAGATAGTGACGCCATCGTGAACTTCGCCGACTGGACGCACCCTCCAGATCTTGATCCAGACTTCAGCCCGGAAGGCTTCTGGTACTCGCATACCATCCCTGAAGCAGAACGAACACGCGCGTTAGCAACAATTCAACATCCGGCAGCAGCAGAAACAACATCGGCAGTAGCAGAAACATCATCAGCAGCAGCAGAGACAACATCGGCAGCAGCAGAAGCAGCAGAGACAACATCGGCAGCAGCAAAAACATCATCGGCAGTAGCAGAACCATCGTCAGCGACACCAGTTCTCGTTGACGAAGCACCACCAACACTCGCACAGCAGCTGAACCCAACTCAACAAGAAATCCACAGAAGCGCAAACTTCGTCGCCAGCTTCTACTCCAACTCCGATGCGTATCGACGCTCACCCGGACACCGCGCCTCCGAAGACATCTGGCACGCACGCATGGGACATCCAAGCAACACAGTGTTAAATAATACAATAAGAGCAGGAGTCCTAGACAAGGATTCATTACTACTACACGACGGCAGAGAACTTCAACGGGCACGAGGAACTTGCCTCACCTGCCCCGAAGCCGACTTACCACATCGACCGTTTACTCCTCACCACAACCCGAGCGCACCCGCGTACGCACCACTCGAGAAGGTGTACAGCGATATTCTCTTCAATCGAGAACCAGGACAAGTTACTTACAACGACACGATAACCTTCATCGACGCCGCCACTCGATACGTCTGGCACCTAAACCTACCCAGCCGCGACATGGCACTCGCAGCGTTCGCCGCCTGGCTACCAGTAGCAGAGAGAGAGTCGGGAGCACAGCTGAAAAGCTTCCAGTCAGACGGAGGAGGAGAATACACCTCTCAGCATTTCAAGCAATACCTGGCGGAAAGAGGAATCAAGCAGCTCCTCTCCCTTCCCTACGCCCATCAGCAGCAAGGTGTCGCAGAAAGAATGAACAAGACTCTGCAGAACAGCATGCGCAAACTGCTACGTGGCATGCGGCTACCCAACCACCAGTGGGCTGCAGCAATGGACCACGCTGTCATGCTGCACAACTTGATGTCGTCGTCCTCACTTCCGAACAACGCATCACCACATCTGCTGTGGACAGGGAAACAGGGCAGCACAAAAATGTTACGAGTTTTCGGGTGCATGGTACAGTACCGACCCCCAGAAGCACGAGCGGGAAGATTTTCACAACGCGCACAATGGGGACTACACCTCGGCATCGAAAAGAATTACAACGCGTGGAAAATCTTCGACGTCCACTCCAAGGAAACAGTAGCAGCACGTGACGTGATCTTCTACGAACGACTCACGCTTCAGACGTACCTCGCCAACTTGCACGAAAATCAGGACCCCACAGGTGGCTTTCGTGGTGATCGAGCCTTCGCCTCAGCAGCGGACGAAGCAGACTGGGACGAGCAGAACGTCGACAACGCATTAGAAGAAGCCGGACCTCTACCGTTCTGGTCAGTCAACGTCCCCATGGACGAAGAAAATCCTCGCGAAAGCGCCAACGCCGAAGTCTTCTACCACTTCGCCGACAACGGTTACGTAACACTTGCGACAGTCAACACCAACGAAGCAGAACGGATAGGGCCGAATTTCATACCCGACCCAGAAGCGGGAGATGAAGCAGCTTATCCCGAGGACACAACTCTCCCCCGCTACTCACAGACTGGACTGCAGATTCTCGGCCTCGTCACCGCAGTCCACGGCAATGCTCTTCCTAAAGAGCGTGCGACAATTCAGCAGGCTCTGGGGGGGGAACACAGGGAGAAATGGCGTGAAGCCATGGACAGAGAGTTAAAGGCGCTGGAGGAACGCAACACCTGGAAAGTCGTTCCCGTAAGCGTGGCAAGGAACAAGACCATCCTCACCGGGAAATGGGTCTTCCGCATTAAAACAAAGGCAGACGGTACAATCGAGAAATTCAAAGCACGCTGGGTCGTGCGTGGATTTGACCAGGAGCACGGACGGGACTTCACCGAGACATTCGCCCCGGTCAGCCGACATACCTCACTCCGAATTCTTCTCGCGATCGCCGCTATGAAGAAG